TTGGCTCAAGCTCCGCCACTTCTCGCATGCACAACTTTCCAAAATCCTCTTTGGTTCAGATGATTTTCCTAGTAGGAATTCTAGAGGAAAATTTTCCCTGTGTAGGTCGTTTAATTATTATGATTATGTTTCCCCTCTATGTTTTTGCAACCCCATGAATAAAAATGGCTCTAACCTGATGAATTTTGTCCCCAAAAAGTGAAAATTTACAGAAAATACAACACTTGTATGTTACTAGACTGAACATGAGTAATAGTACTCTTTTAGCAGAATAGACCATGTGGTGCGCCTTTTTTCCTATACATTTCAAAAACGTTTTAATTTCTTTCATTTTAAAAGGTGAAACTAGTATCCGTGTGTTGCAAAAAGAAAAAATGTCCACACTTATGTACAATATGTCTAATGTAGTTTTCTCTGAGATAATTCTACTTGACATGAACAGTTATTTAGGATGTTCATGTACTTTCAAAAAATGTTCTGCGTGTGGAAAAAAGTGTCCATCTTCTGTGAGGAAAAAGTTCACGCATGTGAGAATAATGTCCATGTGTTGAAAAACAAAAATTTCCACACACATGGAAAGAAATGTTCATGTTAGCTTCGAAAAATTTCCATGTATATTTTCCAAAGAGTTCACATGAACACTTAAAACGTGTGAAAGAAGTATTCAGGTCATGCAAGAAAAGGTTTGAACATATCTCAAAGATGTTCGTTTTTTGAAATGTTCGCATATCTTTTACAAAGTGTCCATTTGTCTCCTAAAGAGTAGAATAAACAGGAAAAAGGAAAGAAAAATTAAGAAATTTTAAAAGCGAAAAGAAAAAGGAGAACAATACAGAAGAAAAATAACAAAAATGGATACAAAAGAAAAAAATAAAAAGGAGAAAACACAACTCAAAGAAAGAAGAAGAGAAAACAGTATGAGTAGCACATCAATTCCTGACTGACACTGATGAGCTCATTGTGCTTGTGCTTCATCGATATCTATCCCCGTGAAATGATGCCACTTACCCACACTCACATGCATGCACATGTTTTTGAAATTTAACCCTACAGAATTTCGTCCAAAATTATGAACGATCAGTTCTCCTATTGCGAAACTTAAATAGTACTCCCTCTATAAAGAAATATAAGAGCGCTT